GTGAAGAGGAATTGATAAACCAACCTAACCTAACTTAAATATATATCTTAATTCAATTGAATTCAACTTTAGAATATAGAGCAGTCATAGTCAAGTCGTAATCAATTGTAAATCGTGCTTCGGCCGTCGGACACGATACCCTAAAATTGTTGTGAGATATAGGTCTGATATAATCCATCGTCATCGTTAACTGGTCCGCCACGGCGGAAACCGGACGACGTTAATGATATCAATAATAAAATTAATATTAATATTCTCACTAATATTATAGCAAATATAAATCACAACACAATATCGTGACACTTGATATTGAATATCGATTAAACGTAATCGTTTTCCAAATACGAAGCCAATTCAAATATTTTTCGTATTGTTATTATATACGACTAAGCGTAGTCGGTTTCTGAACACGAAACAGAACGGACGTATTCCTTTCTTCTCTCCGAATAAATATTTTATCGCTGCACGATATAATAGAATATTATATTATTATTAAATTATTGTAAAATAAATAAGATATCATAATATATAAAATTATATAATTATGCAAAAATAAATATTAGAACAATAAATTAGAAAATTAAATTAGAAAAATAAATAAATTATAATTCTATAGAGAGAAATACCAAATATTAATTCGATATAATAATAGAAGCTTTAATTTATTGAGGCTCGTTATTATTAGTAGAATTTTATTTATTTAATATATGATAAACGATAAATGAAATAGTGGTATGATCGATTAAAATAAAATATTCGGGCGTACAACAAATTTGTATTTATTTATAAATTTAAATTTATATTATATTTGAATACCAATTTTTTATGAAAAAAAAGAATTAATTTAAATTCTCTTTCTTCTTTCTTCGTATCTTAAATGGTAAATATATTGAAATTAAAAACTTTTCTTTTTATTGATTCTGTACTTTATTTTTTTTTATTTTAAACGAATTTATTATTTTTTTTTAATATACGCTACTTTTCTACATATTCGATCGATTCGATTTATCGTATGAGAATATTTATGCGGCTATTCAAAATTTGTTATCTATAGTTCGATTTTCTTCGATTGAAATTCCATTTTTTTTTTTATTTATAATGTTCAGGACATAAATCGAGAGATCGTTCATTTTTTGCTTATGAATGTTATTGTAAAAATATATTAAATATATTACAATGAAATATGTAAATATTCTTGAATATTGGAATTTTTTTTCAATATTAATAATAAAAAATTTTGATTTAACACATATAAAAAAATAAATATAAAAAAAAATCTATTGTTTGAATGTTACGAAATAAATCAAAGAATATTAAATATAATTTTAATTTGCGATGCATTACGAAATGTCCACATATTATGTTATTGAACTGAGATAATAAACAAAATAGTTGCATAAATATTCTTGTATGATATAAATGAACTTTCGAATATGAAAATACGATAAATTAAAGATAAATAATAAATTCGTTTAAAATAAAGTGTAGTCTTCGTTATCGACGAAAGATAATTTTTATTATATTAAATTGCTCAAAATATGTCATGGAAGAAAAAAAAAATTAAACACGATTTACTTAATTTTTATAACAAAAAATTGCTACTTAAACGAATTAATATATAAATTTCTTAAATGTCCAAATATTTCTTCCTTGTTAAATTTCTCCGTTTATTTATCGCTTGTCGATGCAAGAAAACTATGTGTATTAAAAAAAATAATAAATAATATTTATATTTTCGCCAATTACAAATTCGTTGATGTATTGAAAAACGATCCGTTCAAAAAAATCGTAATAAAAAAAAAATATGATGACCTTTCGAAAATTGTGAACTGTTGAAAAAAAAAGTTGCTATCGATTTGAGACTACGATTTATTTATCCTATATTTATCCTGTGTCGGTAAGATAGAAATTGAAATTACGGCAAATATAAAAATTTTTCGAGAAATGTTTTAATTTTAACTTTCGAATCGTCAAATCCTTCTCGCAAGTACTGTTTTTATCTAAAAGGAATCAATTTTCAAAATTTCAGCTAAATCGAAGCGTTACAAAGTTTTCAAAAATATTTCAAAAAGTGAATGAAATATTTTTAAAAAATTTTGAATTTTAACTTTCGAGTCGCGAAAGATTCTTTTCGCGAACATTATTTTTGTGTAAAATGAACTTGTTTGTCCGAGTAAATTTATTATTAAAATTTTACTTAAAACGAAAAATTTGCGACGAATTATTTTTATAGAAAAATCTTACAAATCGATATTATTTGCGTTATATTGAAAAAAAAATTTTTACGAGTAAATTTTTAACTTATGAATAATTTAATCATCAATAATTCAACTTATATATGACTCTTTTTAGTATTAGTAATAATTAAGCTATGAATACAATCTGATACGTATAACGCATAATAATAATAATTATAAAAAAAGTTATTTTCACAATCTTCCGACATCGGTTTATACGATGGAATTGAATATAATTCTTGTATTCGTCTACATTTTGAATAGTAAGGGCATATCGACCGCTTTGATTTTTGCACGATCGGTATTTGAAAACGTAGAACGCAAAGTTCCATTGACTGTTACGTCTATTCTCTATGCCTCGTCCGTGATATTGAATCCGTTTTATGCTTGTTCGATTTATAGGGAAATATAAGAATATATATTGATTGTTAACTTTATTTTATATCATACATACGTATCGTACACGCGTCTGTCATCCGTTATTATTTAATGTGAGTGAATAAAATAATTTTTATCAGTATTAAGCGCAACGATCGATGTAGATAGCACCACTTGTGATATGTGTTTAAAAAGGACGCCATTAATTTCACCGTAACGATATTTATACTTGCGTACTTATCGCGTTTTATTAAAAATTGAAATTATTTTACTTTAAAATTATGGATTTATTACCGTAAGTAGCATTTTACGTTATTTCATTTTTATATCGTTTCATTCTATGTGGTCAACGATGTGTCATAACCTTGATTAATTGTTTCATCTTTTGTTTAGAGAACATAATTCAACATTTTGGAAAATTGGTAGATTAAAAACGTTTGAAGATTGGCCGTTTCAATCTTCTGATAATTCGTGTAATCCCGAGCGGATGGCTGCTGCTGGTTTTTATGTAGTGGGTGGTAAGAAAGAACCCGATTTGGTTGAATGTTTTATTTGTTCCAAACAACTTGATAGTTGGGATCCGGATGATGATCCCTGGTATATTTATTTTATTTTATTTTATTTTATTTGTTTAATAATTAATTATATAGTGCGAATAATTTTAACTTCACAATTTCATCCGTTTAATTTTTTTGATCTATCAATTGATTACATAACCTTATTTTAATTGCTTCTAGGAATGAACATATGAAACATGAATCGCAATGTTCGTTCATTAGATTGGGAAAATCGGATGAGGCTACTTGGACTGTGAATGAATTATTCGATTTGTTCAAAAGATATATGGTTAAGGAATGCGTGAGTATCTTTTTTTAAAATTAAGATAAAATTATTTTATGAATATGACGCAAAATAATGAAAAAGAAAATGTATAAATTTTATAGATACATGAATTGGACAAAGCTGTAACTATGGCGAAAGAAGAAAGCACACGATTGGTACGTGAAATACCTCATATTTATAAGAAAATAAAGAAAGGAAAAAAAGTAAAAAATTAAAACTCTAAAAATAAAAATTAAAATAGCGTTATTTATCCGATGATTAATGATGTGATCTTTTCTTTTCTTTAATAAAATTTTATATTTTAAAATAAATATGAATATCAACAAATATCAACAACAAATGTTCTTTCGATGAAGTTATTTCCTTTTATCTACGTTTATTTTGTTTTTTTTTTCTCTCTTCGTTTTCATTTTCTGTTGAAAACTAAGCGACGTTATGTCGTATGCTAAAGATGGAACTGATAATTCATTTGATAATGATCTAGCATTAATAGCAAAAGTTATTAAGCGATGTGTATAAGAGGCGATTATATCGCATTATGATAATTTATATCATCTATTCTTGTCAAACTTGGTTGATTTTATCAGCGACATGTTAATCCTACGATATTAAAGGTAAGAGGAATTATTGTTAATCTTATAATGGTATCGAGGAAGAAGATTATATAATATCTTGTAATCGTAATGATCGTTATTTCGCATAATTTATAAATCGTTGATATATCGATTATAAATTTAGAAATAAACGTAACGTTTCGTTACGCTGTATTTTATTACGTTATTACGATGGTGAAACTGTTTTAAAAAGAAATAGAAAGAAAGAAGTATAGATACGATACTTGGATAGAGATCGAAATAAAACGACGATACTTTTTTTTCGAAGGTACATTTGTGAGATAACTTTATAATTATTCTTTATAAAAGATATTTTTATTTGCATTGTAAAAATCATAATGATAAATCGTAAAAAAAAAAATTTATTACAAATGATATTAAGTGAAATTTAACGAATTGTTGATTAATCGATTTTTTTATCGATTTAAATATAAGTAATTAGGGACTAAATATATATTGTATTAGTATGCTTGATATTTATCGTTACTCGTTATTATTTATCGCTATATAGCTATTGAACTCATTATTTATCGAGTATCGTTTCAAATCTTTGACTTAACTGTATTATCTATTTCATTGAAACTAGAATTTATTTCGATTAAAATTATCAAAATTTTTCATTCTGTTCCTTAATAGGATATATCGATCGTAGAATTCAATTTTTATATTAATATTGCTATTAAATTTAAATTATTTGTTGATCCGTCTAATCAATTTTTTTATTCCTTCGAACGTGTATACGATTACGTGATAGGTATCCGTATATGTAAAAAATAGAATACGGAAACTATCAAATATAGATACGCGTGTATACATACACGTTATCATTCCCCTTCGATGTTGAATATACCTTTCCCGCGTCAACTTTTACTACACGCTAAGCGTCTTATCCACGGTTCCTTTCCCTTTTTGCTTTTAGTGAAGAGCACGTGTAAGCACTGCTATAAAATGAATTCGCAGGGACGGCATCGATTCAGTCGATCGCAACATATCATAGGAATATTATTTAAGTATTATTAAGTATATCTGCTACCATTTTTGTTGATACAACAATCGTCATCTTCTTCTTGATTAGACTCGTCTGGATTAGATTTTTTTTCTGGATTAACGGTATTGAACGTGATAATAAAATAAGAACGTAATTCGATCTTCGAGAATATAATTTTTGTGTACTTTTTATTCCAACGGTTAAACGTCGAAGAATATTTTCATTCGCATAATGCTATCTACCTGCAAAATATGTTGTAAGTACCTAATAGAAGAATCTATAAATCTGATATTCTCGATCTCGTTAAAATTAAAATATTTCTAATTAACGATATTTTATTTACAAAATTATTACAAATATTATTTACAAATATTATATTGTTATTTATCTTTAACAGAATTTTATATTTTTTAATTTACATCGTTTAATTATATCGTTATTGTACATTTTGATGATGATGTTCGAAGATCAAGATACCGATTTACTTTACATATTTGATAAATATTCGTTTTATAAGATAGAAGAAAATATCGATTATTTATTTTAAAAGAAATTTATAAAAATTACGTGTATCAAAAGAAACGTATTAAAAATTAATAAAAATCTTGTAACAACATATAGTTTTATCTCGTTTGTGTTCAAAAATAACGACGGACAAAATACTTGTACGTGAAATATACATAATGACATATCGTATTAGCATATTCATTTTAAACCCATTAATGCATTTTATAAATTTATAATTCCCATTGGTTAAATGATTTTTTATTTCGTAAAATAATAAAAACGAAATAAAAAAATCTTGTTTTGTTTCGTTTTATAGATTTTCTCGAGTTAATAAAATCTTGTTTAAATAATTATTAACATTAATATATATTTAAATTTCTTTTCATAGAATTTCATGAATATTTTTGTAAAATCATGAATGCGATGAAAAAAAAAAATAAAAAAAAACACTGTGTTTTCTAAAAAATGCATTAAACAAAATAAAATTGTTAAAAGAAATAAATGTAATAAAAGTGAAAAATAAGATTGTGGTCCGATTTATAAAGTGAGATTTGTTTTTATTAAAAACAATATAAGAAAAATAATTGGTTTCGTACATATATGAAGAGACTATAATTCGTCACAAATCGGAATAAGTTGACAATCATTTTTATGTTATCTTTACAACAATTCGGTCTACCGATATAATCATTTGGAGTAAATCGCACCGAGATATTATTGGTACTTTTTGGCTTCTTGTATTTGGATTTTCCGTATATTGTGATAGATAAGATAAACTCGTTGATGCTGGGTCTGGTATTTGATTAAAGAATCGAGCAACAAAAATATATATGTTCTTTCGATTGTCGTTGTTTCGTTGATTGATCGATGATCGTTAATGAAACGAATCGATGGAAACACGTATATACTGTTTCTTTTGTTTTTTTTTTTTTGTTCTTAACCTTTTTAATATATTTTGAGAAAAATATATTATTTCCCATTTAACTTGATAACTTTTTGTTCTATTTATCATTATCATCGCTTTACGATCTTCTTCTGTACAATGCGAAAAAAAAAACTCGCGCTATTTAACTTTCGATATGAATATATGTATTTATATTTATAGTCATCTTTTTATAACGTTTCATTATTAATAAAAGTTCAAATTTTAATCTAATTTATTTTCTAATTTATTATTTATTTTGTTTAATTATATAAAGAAAAAAAATTGATTTTTTTTTATCAATTTTTATTTCATTTTTCTCATTCTTTTATTATTGTTATATTTCGAATTTTCCTTTGCTGTACGATATTCGAATGAAATTGCGATCATTTGTAAAGTGCATTGTTCTTGACTTCGATTCGATTTAGCTTGTAATTATATAATTATATAAAAACAAATCGTATATATCGTTATAGAAATCTAAACATCTTGTATAACTTTTTATTTCGTATATATTCATTTTCCAATTTCTCGCTTTTATATACGTATATGTATAATGTATGTATATGTAGGTACATATCACTCGTCGTTTTTCTTTCTTAGCTGGATTTCTCTTGATTCGACCGATTATCCTTTTAATATAACACACAAATCGAAATCGAAATTATTCAATGCCCAAGTTAGTGATATGTATAAGGAATTTGACCTTTACCTAGATAAGTTTGTACGGTTCGTTAGACAGCTGCCAATAGGGAAAGGCTTTGCCGCTAATCGTCATTCCTTCCGCGCTGTTGACCTCGGGCTTTCTTCTCTGTAAAACGTGAGTTTATTTATCCATACTATTATAATACGATAAGAGTTTGTTTATATGCAAACAGGTGGAAGAATACCGCAACGATGGATATTTGCGATAATGGGATTTTTAGCATTATTCAATGCTTACGCTATGCGTGTTTGTTTATCGATTACAATTACTGAAATGGTAATCCCAATGAAAAATGCGACGCATAACGATCAATATACTTGTCGGATAAATACTACGGAAAATGGAATGGACGATAACGATCTAAAGCCATCGAACGCGAAAAAGTACGATTGGGACGAGATGATGCAGGTAAAAAATACAGACGCGTTTATATATCTTATAATATAAAACATAAAAATACTTGTATACTTGATGATGTGTTTATTGATTAATTACGACATATTATACTTTAAATTCACATACGTATATGTAATTTTTTTCAATCAGGGTATTATTTTATCGTCGTTTTACGTGGGTTATGTGATAACACATTTACCCGGTGGAATGTTATCGGAGAAGTTTGGTGGAAAATATTCTCTCGGTTTGGGTATTTTGGCGACGGGAATTTTCACATTAATTACACCGATTACCGTAGAAATTGGAGAAGCAACAGGTTTGATCATTGTACGCCTATTAATGGGTCTTTGTGAAGGAACGACATTTCCGGCGTTAAATGCAATGCTCGCACAATGGACACCACCGGAGGAAAGATCTATGATCGGTTCATTGGTATTTGCTGGTGCTCAACTTGGCACGGTATTTGCAAATTCTTTGTCCGGTGTTATTCTTCGATATTCGATAATAGGATGGCCAGCTGTATTTTACGTATTCGGTAGTATCGGAATTCTTTGGTTTTTATTATGGTTAGTGATATGTTATAATAATCCGGATACGCATCCATTTATTTCCGAAAGAGAACGAATCTTTTTACAAGAAAGAATGCGAGCGCATACGCATAAAAAACCACCATCGGTGCCTTGGAAACATCTTCTTAAATCTACACCGCTTTGGGCATTGATAGCAGCACAAGTTGGTCATGATTGGGGTTTTTTCACTTTAGTCAACGATCTTCCGAAATACATGAGCAACGTGCTCAAATATTCGATCGATCACAACGGATTTCTTTCCGCTTTACCATACTTAACTATGTGGATTTGCAGTACGATAACATCCTGTCTAGCTGATTGGATGATCACAAATGGCTTGATGTCACGTACAAATGTACGCAAACTAGGTACTACGATTGCCTCGCTCGGACCAGGAGCATTCATTCTCGGTGCGTCTTATGCCGAATGTGATAAGACAACTGTTGTTGTTATGTTCACCCTCGGTACAACGTTAATGGGTATGTATTCATTAATGTATTCATGGGATACTTTTGAAGAATCGATTCCTGAGATACGAAACGAATACGAAAGAATGCTAGAATGTCGGTTTAATACCAGAAAATTTACTTATTAAATTATAAACGGTAATTTAAATTTGTGTACGCGTAATGAAGCGAGATGAAAATAGCGATGGCGGATAGAATATAACGGAAATAAAGCTGTCTCGTTCTATTCGCTTCATCTCCTTTTTTATATAATGCGCGATAATTTGATAAATAATTAATAGTTTTATATTAACATTATATATATATTTTGGCCTCTTAAATTGACTCTTTAAAGATATCTCGAGAATATTAACACATTGTTATATTTAATGTTTCAAAATTTTTAATCGAATTAAGATTATTAATATTCGATTTATTCATTTTTTTTTTAGGAACATTTTATCCAGGAATGAAGGTAAATGCTCTAGATCTTAGTCCAAATTATTCCGGTACTTTAATGGCTCTGGTAAATGGAATAGGCGCTTTTACCGGTATTTTAACACCGTATATTGTTAGCATATTGACTCCTAATCAAGCTCTTCACGAATGGAGACTTGTATTTTGGATTGTTTTCGGCGTTTTTGTTTTAACCAATATAATTTTTGTTCTGTATGCAAGCGGAGAAGTCGAATATTGGAATGATCCTGAATTCGTTAGAACCGAAAAAGAAAGGATACAAAAGAAAGTTATAGATGAAAAAATGGAAAAAATTCAGAAACCTCTTTCCTGAATAGCACAATTAGAAATATTTTTGTTTGATAAATTTCTCATAATTTCATGTAACGATCAATGTGCATTGATTTTTACAATTTAAACTATATATATTGTGATATCATACGTATTAATACGTGTAAATAATACGTGTCCGTATTAAGTTGATATTCTTAACTATCTATCTTATTACAGACTTACTCGTTACATTTTTTATTAAAGCGAAATAAGTTTTTCATTTATTCATATGTTACGTTTATTATTCCTATGGAACGTAATATTAATTGGTGCAAAAGTTCGTTTCTTTTTATAGATCTAAATTTTTCATTAATTTCTTAGTAAAAGTGAAAATATATTGCACATTTTTGTTGAAACAAAATATTTTCTCGAGCTTTTTTTGTTGCATTTTTGCGGATCAATCGAACGCTGATGCTGTGAAGAAGATATTATAAAATAATATCTCATTATAAATATAATATATAAATATTATAAAATAAAATGTTTCTCTATTTCTATCTGAGAAAAAGAAAGAAAAAAAAAAGTGAACGAGTTTTTGCATGAATCTAATAATATTATTTCAAATTTCGATAACTCTAGTCCAAGTTTGAAACAAATGATAAGTCGAACGACTATATATGTATATTAATCCACAAGCGAGAATAAAAGACAGATTTTGTTACTATATATTACATTGATGAGTTTTCGCGATTCAGTGTACCTGAACAATATTTTTATAACTTTACACGTTTTAAAATAAATGTGCGCATTGTTAAATACTGTCATTAAAATAAGTGAAGGGATAATGAGAAACCGTACGTGTAATTGTATATATATATGAATATTTAGAAACTATGTGCACATGCGATATATAAATGAGAATCGGTATACGCACTATTATGATATGAACATGTAAAACATATTGTTTGTATCGCAAAAGATAAATTTCTTTTGCCTCTTTATTGGGACGTAACGAAAAGAAAAAAAAATATATCTTTGGACTTCTTTCACATTCGATATGCACGATCACAATTTAAAATATTTTATCATCACGTATCGCTAAAACTGTTCAAACTTTGTGTTTAGATTTTTTTTTTTTTGCTAATTATTTTTTTATTTTATTATAACGTATTCTTTTTTTATTTTTTTTTTTTTTGTTATTTTTTTACAAATTCTTTTTACTACAATAATATCGCATAATATTTACAAATATTTTAAATTTTCTACATCATTTAATGATTTTTAGCGATGTTCGATATTTTTGACCGCGTTATTATTAAAACATTCGTTCGTTCATTTTTTTCTTAATGTATATATACAGCACGTACATTGGTTCATAAAACACTATAATAATAATAGTGTCTCTAAACTTCTTAGTTTGAAACTCTGTTTCTAATTCGAAGGTAAGGTCCAAGCAATTGGAATATCAAGTTTTTTTTTCTCGTATTTTTTTCTTTGATTTCGGTATCTCGTTTTATTTGGACTCCAATCGATATTATCTTGAACTTTGCAAGAAATTGGTAAAGTTTTATAACTTGACGGACATATATTCTTAATCTGTACAGATTCTCCTTCGCTGATAATTGCAAATGTGTAATCGGCATGATAATAATCTCTTAATGTTGGCTCGTTACGGAAAGTTTGCATAGCGCACCAAACGTGCGAAAGCAAAGAGGGAAATCTAGAAAGCCAATATTCGGTGAACTTGTCGGGAATATATCCAAGACTTTCTTGAGCTTGTTGACTTAATTCTCTGTAATGATGCTTCTACGATAAATAGTTGAAATTAATGAATATTTATAACGGATTTCAATTTCAACAGTTTCAGCTTTTATTTAATTTAATATTCGAACCTTGTTTCGCAATGCTCTCAGCAGATCTCTAACACTTTCACCTCTATAACTTCTGTATTTTCGAAGATCAGTTGCAACTTCTATATCGATAAGTAATCTCCAATCTCCTTGTACCACACGATTGCATTCAAATTCTAATGCGAGTAATGCCGGACTGCTCGTTTCCTCCTTTTCTACTCGATCGCTCACATCCTTTTTTAAAAATCATTAAAAAATCATTAAAAAATCATTAAAAAATCATTAAAAAAATCATTGAAAAATCATGAAATTTATAAATTTCAAATATAAGAAAAAAAGTAACAATACCTGGAAAAATCCAAGGATTTTAGCAGGTTCCCAAAATATTGGATGATCATAAACAGCCATAACGGGAGGTCGTTCCGATGGATTGTTTGCGATCATTGCCTTTATAAGTATTAACGCCAACTCTTTGTCATTCTGAGAAATTTCATCGTGCAGAGCCGTTAAATCATTTTCCCCGCCTATGATATGTCGTTAAAATTAAAACGAAGATAAATTATTAAATGATTAATTCATAATTATAATCTCATTAACAATAGCTAACAAGCTGAAAAAAAATTTTAAAAAAACAAAGTATTATGTGTCTTACAAAGAATATTAGCTTGTCGCCGTAATGGATCTCCAAATGGATGTTTTCCATTAGAAAGAACATAATAAAAAACGCAGCCTAGAGAAAAAATATCCACAGCACAAGTCGTTCTATTTCCATTTAGCATTTCTGGCGCGATCCAACCATCGGTTCCTGTTACACCTGATCTACGTGAAAAAGATACGCGGCCCAATTGAAGTTTTTTGCATAATCCAAAGTCCGATATCATAGCTCTCACTTCTCCGCGAGGTCCCGGAGTCGATAATAACACATTGTGCGGTTTTATGTCCCTGTGCACTATTAAAATATTAAAATCTTATGTTAAATATATATATATGTATATGAGATTACTAACTTGAGATTACTATTGAGAATTTTGTCAAATATTGAAATTATCCTTGTTATCCACGATACCTCGTATATTCGTATAATGAATGTCGAAGCATATAAAATTTACCGATGTCAAGAAGATGTAGATGAGCTAATCCTGACGTAGCTTGTCGTAGAATACTTTTTGCGGATATTTTTCTTTTATCGTATTTTCCTGCCACGTAATCTTGCAAAGTCGCTTCGGCTAATTCTAATGCAATATATCTAAACATTCTATCTTGCTCGGTACAAAAATATCGTACAACGTTTGCATGCGCATCCGATTCTCTGAGTAACGCTACTTCTCGATCGGCAAACGTAAAACAATCTGGTAACAAACGCTTTACAGCTACGGATCGTCCATCAAAATTACCTCTGAAAATTCAACAATTCGAGATTCAATGATAATAATGGAAAATAAATAAAAATATAAAATGTAAGAATTGCATTATAAATAATGATTTTCAAATAAGAAAAATATACAAGAATAATTTCAAACAACGAAATAAGGAGATATATCGTCTTTCTTTTATATTACCTATAAACGAAAGTTCCCTCGCATCCTTTACCCAAAACTTGTCCGGTATCGAAAGTTATCTTTCCAACCTTTACTATTCCTTCTCCCATATCTTCTGGAACTACAAGTGCGTTAGATCTTGTTCCATAATAATCACTGGTACTGTTATTTTCTCGAGAACCCTGTCAAAAAAAATTGTCGATCGGTCGACAATTATCTGATAAAGCATGCAACTCTTTAGATATGTTCTCTATACCACCGTCACTGTCGATAGATTATATATCGTTGACTATTCTTTAAACGATAGATGTATTGTTGATTGATAAAACAATCGCTACGTAATAATTAATTTATATTTTAATTCAAAGTTTTATTTATTATTTTTAATATATTTCCTCTAATAATAGAGCGGATAAAAGAAGAGTAAATACATATTATCGTATAAATACACATGAGAAATAAGCAAAAATACCTGAGACAATTGTTGAAATTCCTTGAATTGTGCATTTAAATACCAAAACATTACTAGTATACATCCTAATAGTACAATTAATGTTAATTTTAATCCTTTGTTTTCTTGTTGATTGAACCAATTCTTGCCTATTGTATAAACATTCTGTACAAATTCATGCCATGATTCGTTATTTGTATCGTTGTTAGATTTCTCATCATCTTGTAAACCGAATAACGATTGTTTTGTAGAATTTGAATATCGTAAAGGTACTGTTTCAATTACAGGATCGGATCGACCGGTAATTTGAAGTGGTTGTTGTTCTTGTAATTTATATTCAGCTGGTATTTCATAATGACCTATTTTTCAATTAAATGACAAAAACCAACAATTAAGCAACATTTTAAATTAATTTAAACATATTTTTTTAATTCTTATTATCACCTAACGTTATGACTGCCTGATATTCATTGTTATATGTATTAGAGGGTACATTTCCATTATCATTTTTTCCTAATTGTGGAACTGATAATGGACCTTCGAGCAATAATTGACCAATATTATTTGATATAGTAGCTGTTGTTAAATCAACGAGAGATGGTAAGGCATACAATCCGTGTCTGTGTTGGCCAATGTATAATGTTGGGCTATGAAAAGAAAACATATATCCTGAGGAAACTTAACAATATAGAATGATAATAACAATAATTTGAAAGAAAATATTTACAAGAATATTAATTACTAACAATAATTGAATATCGCTCGGTTTATTCGCAAAACGTTTTAAGATGAGATTTAAAGTTTCATCTGCAACGCTAGTAAAGGGAATTGTTAACAATCCATCCTCTCTTACGATATATACTGCTATCACCGGACTTTGTACATCTAGTTCCCATAGAATAATTCCCAATTTTCTATCTACAGTGACAATCCGTCCAGTTGAACTCGTTGCGAAATGAACTAGATCTATAAAACGTAAATTATACTAAATTGTACTATTATACGCATGATAATATATAATATATTGACAAATAATGAAAATAAAAAAACTATGAGACGATCAAACCATAATTTTCTATTCCTTCAGGTTCCATTTTTGTAGCAGAATAATCATAAAATGTAACATTCCATTTTCGATTTTTCTGTTTACTATCCACCATAATAATACTATATTCTGTACGTCCCATGAAAACAGCATTCTGCATTTCTACAGGGCAAGTATTTTTAACTTTATCGAATCCTAGAAGTTGTTCTCTTTGACCAGTTCTAGGATCGATGCCAAACCAAGTATCAATTTTTCTACCGGTATATAATATTCCATCGCTACTGCGACAAGGACTATTTGCCACAAGTTGTGGAATGGTGAATGGTAGTTTTTTTAAAGCTTCAGTTTCTGTCCCAAACACGTATAAAGAGCCATCCTTTGGATCTGGTAAAAACATAGGCCTAAAACGTATATAGAATGTTACAGAGAATATTACAATTAGATCTTAACTAAAAAAGTACAAATATATCTACATGGAAGTTCTTCCAAGTTCAACTGGCACTTTGACAATTGGTTCTGTAATAAATGCTTAAAATAGTTAGAATAATTGGATAAAACTTTTATTTTACAAATTATACCTAGTAACAATACCATCATTTTGTCGCCAAAGTACATTTCCAGAACGTTGTTTTATACCAATCAAAGAACCATCTAATGTAGAAAATATTAAGAGTGGATCATCTTGTTCCGATATTAATTCTGTATCCCTTTTTTGTTTATGCTGAAAGATAGTCATTTAAAATTTATGGAAGAAATTTTTTTATATTGAAAAAATTAAAGAAATTGATATACCTGTCTCTCAGAAGATTTAAAATAATCTGGTTGCCATGATCTTTCAGTTTGATCACAAATATGAATATTAAACAATTTAATCATCAGAAAAATTAATACAAGCTTGAATCGCATGATTTTTAATATAATTTATATAAACAATGTTTTATGTATTATCATATAAAAGTCACTTAGATATTTAAAGAAAAGTAAATAATATTTATAAAATAGCAAGATATCCTAATTTTACATCTCTCGTTACAAAAAACGACAATGTTTTTCGTCATCTCGTCCAAATTTTTTTAAAATCTTTAAAATCTTCGGAAATCTTATCTAAATATCTTCCATGAGATAGAATTCATCGAATATATTATTAAAAACTTTGCTCTTCTTTTCCTTCGTATATAATTAATATTATATACATGTTGAATATTATTATATAAATTACATAATGTTTACTTTAAAAAGCAATAATATTAAAATTAATATTGCGTATATGTTAAGACGAAAAGTGATAATTTTAAACTAAAACGTCACATGGCGTATATTTAAAAAAAAAAATTATGTATATTTTTTGATATAATATAATCTGTTTTTTTCAAATGGTTACATAAATAAAACGATGAGTTAAATAACTCTGTAATTTAACTCTGTAATTTATCGTGATCAAGGAGAGGAGTGAACTTTAGAAAGAAAAAACGTAAAATAAATACTTCACACGTAGCGATTTGTTCAATGATGTCGCGTATATGTACGTCCAAGCATAGATAACATCATGGACACGTGGCTCTTGTGCGTTCGTGTAAAACATTACATCGTGATATAAATATAAAATGTAATTTGTAATTTAGTTTTCATTGCATTACAAATAATTAGAATGTAAAGTTAAATATCATGTTTATTATTATGTATTAACATTGAATATTTATATTTATTTATATTTATACTAATCGTAATAAGTATAAAAGAAATTGTGAAAAATATTTCGATAAATTACTGTAAATAAAATAGTGTAATAATATTAGTACTGTACATAAATTAATGAAAAATAAAACATTTATTTATTTAATTATATTTTATAAAACATCTCTATACAGATGCAGATTTTATGAGATGATATGATAAATAACAATATAAAAAAATATGAATAATTTTGAGCCAAGTATCAACTTTAAGGCAGCATATACAATATAGGATAAATTTGTGATATCTTTATTAAACATTGTATAGTATCAGTGTCTATGCATGCATCGTATACACCACACACACACACACACACACACACACACACACACACAGTGCGGCGGGGAGGAGAGAATGTATCTGTATATATAAAATATTACATACACAAATGCGAAGGTTGGTCATTGAGAATAAACGCGTAGATATTCTTCGATCGTTTTTGATATAATTAGAGATTAAAGCAATGATATTGATACAAAATTATAAATATATAATTGCTGCGAACAACAGTGTAATCGAAATTCATCATGATATGTTAAAAGATATTTGGATGTAGATTGACATTCGAACAAAACGTTTTAACCATGAGCGTAAAACATAGTCCAAGAAAAATAACATTGGCCATGATAAAAGGTGATACTAATTTAGATAAATAGATAAAATTTGATAAATATATATCCATTTTATAAAGTTAACTTAATAGCAATGAAAAAATTAATTAATCGATATTTTGTTTTCTCTTTAAGGTAAACCTATTGCAACTTCGGTTCCTGTAATTCATTATCATGCTAGTGATGATGAATTAGAAGAAATATATCCTAGTACTGATGAAGAAAAACAATTAACACCGGAACATGAAAAAAATTCATCTAAAGTGATCTCTACCCCATCGAAGTGTGCTCATGAATCGGATATTTCTGAAAATAATTCAGAATCTCAGTCTATCAGTACGGAAAATATTTTACTAGAAGGTACGCCACCGTCTCTTGATCCATGGAAAGTATTATCAGAAATTAAAGGAAAAATAACCAAGACGTTTGAGGAAAAATTGTCTGAAATAAAAAGTGATAAAAAAAAACGTCATTCTAAGGGAGAAACTTCAAGTATTAGTGATTTAGAAGATCAGGGATGTATTACACCTTGTGATGAAAAGATAAATGACATTCGAAGAGGTAATTCAACTAAATATGTAGGTTTTTCTGGAATTAAGACCGGTTTGAAAGACAAGAGTTTACAGGATGAAAGTGTAGAAAGTGGTATTGAAGCTTCTGAATTTTCTCAAAATGTTAATGAAAATATTACATCTTCTTCAAGGAGTGATTTATCGAATATAAAAACATCTAATATTGATAATTATACCACTTTTCCACAACAGACACAATATGCATGCACAGTAGCATTTTCAAAACGAGTAAATTTCAAAACTTTGTTTTTACAATTGATCAAACAACTGATTCGCCAAGCAACGTATAAATCTGTTGCAGTTTTTATTGCCATTTCTTGCATTTATTATACTATTCCATTAGCAGAATATTTATTAGGATTTTTAATGGGTATCTTTATGACTATTATTTTTTATGACATAGTAACAAAATTTAAGAAGATTTTAACCACTTTGCCAGATGAAACATATCCTTCTAGTCTACCAATACCTGTTTTGGAAATTCCAGCTGTAGAAGAACATGCTGTGATTGAAAGATATCAAGGTTGGTTAAATGAATTGCCCTGCAATTATGAACCAAATAATTATCATGTGGCACGCACAAAATCAGTGTTCTTTAGATTAGAGGGAAATATTTTGCGTATTATGGAAACTAGAATGAAAATACCAAAGAAAGCTGTCTGGGATGAACCTAAACACAAATTAAAATTTATCAGAAGAAGAGTTTATAATTTAACTGAGGCAAAAGTAGAACTTCTTCCCTATGGACTAGCTAGAAGAAGAAGATGGAGTAAAAAATATCCAATTTGTATAATCCTTAAAAAGGAAGCTTTAATTTGTAATGTGACATTGAAGAATACAACCGATGATGAATCTTCAATGAATAATTATCATGGTAAAATGAATCTAAAAAAAAAGATAAAATATAAATCGGATAAAAAATGGGATGAAGAAATACAGGATGCGGATGAAATTTTATTGTTAATATGGAGAATGAAGAACCAATTATAAAACAAGATGTTTGCGAGATTGAAGATGTAGAAAATACTGATGAAGATGATAATGATAATAAAAATTACAATTATGATTTAACTAATGATTATATTGGTAACGAATACGTAAAATATGAAGAATATTTTATGGAGAGAAAAGAGAAAGAAGAATATATGGAAGAAAAGGAGAAACGAAAAAAGGGAAGATATTCTAAAGAGCAACAAAAAAGGGATGATAAAGAAAAGAAAGATGTAAATAAAACTTATATTTGTAAAAATAGAAAAAAAAAGAAACGTAGAGAAACGTTAAATGAAATGAAAATTTGTAAAAAATCAACGATGAAAAGATGGAATAAAATGAGAGATGATTGGGAAGAAGGAAAGCAAAGTAGAAGAAAAGAACAACAAAAGAATACACGAAAAGAGAAAAAAGAGGAGAATGAGATACAAGAAGAGGAAGAAGAGGAGGAGGAGGAGGAGGAGGAAGAGGAGGAGGAAGAGGAGGAGGAGGAGGAGGAAGAGGAGGAGGAGGAAGAGGAGGAGGAGAAGAGGAGGAAGAGGATGAAGAAGAAGAGGAAGAGGAAGGAGAAACAATAAATAAAATAATAAACCTAGAAGAAAAAAAGGAAAATGAAGATGAAAGAAATAAAGAAGTGATTGAGATAGAGAATGGAAAAAGAGAAATAGAAGAAAAAAGAAAAGAAATACAAATGATAATTGATGATAATAAGAAGAATTATAATGGCTATGATCGTAATGAATTGCACAAAGAAAGAACAAGAAATAATAGAAAAAAGAAGAAAAAGGGAAAAGATGAGGGGGAGAAAAAGATTATGAGGAACAAGAGGAAGAGGAAGAAATGGAAGAGGAAGAGGAATTTTACAATATTGATAAGAAAAAAATGAAATAAAATATTATTTTTGCTAGAACTGATCGTGAAAAAGAAGATTGGTATAGACGTTTAGTTTCTGCTGCATCTCGATATGTTAAAAAAAAGGATTCGTTATTATTTACACTTGATACATTAAGTACTATACCTAGTATTCATACAACGCTACAGAAAATCAGTACCGCGGAATCAAAAAATTCTCTTTCAACTAGTAATTCACATGAAACTGTACCTGAGCTAAGTTATAATGCTTATATGGCAAAATATTTGGATAATTGTTCATCTATATCAGAAGATAAAATTTCCATGTCTGCTGAAAGCACACTTTGGATTAACTGTTTAATAGCTCGTATACTTTTCGACATGCGTAAATGTCCTGAAACTATACATCTTATACAAGATAAAATACAACGTAAATTATCCAATATAAAACTACCTTATTTTATGGAGTGCCTTTTAGTTTCAGAGATAACAATAGGACAAGGAGCTCCTATTATTCATAATATAACAAAACCAATGATTAATGAAAGAGGTCTCTGGCTTAATTTAGATATAACATATAAAGGATCTTTGACCATGACTGTTGAAACAAAATTGAATTTAATGAAATTAACAAGAACTGGATCAGTTCCAGATGATACACGTATAATTATTTCAACAAAAGCAAATGAATTGACAACTAAATCACCGATTTTTGATAGTGAACTAGAAGATACTCCAGAAACATCTACAGAAGATGATTATGATACTTCCAAACCACAGTCGTATAATACAGTTAAAGAAACAACGTAAGCAACAATAGCAACATCTCATTTTTTTATTTCGTTTTTTAATCATAATAATTCATTTGATTTTCTTCTTTTTATTTATATATTTTTCTTCTTGAAGGTCTTCGCAATCTTCCGGGAAGAAGTTCCTCAATATGGTAGATAGAATAGCAGCGAATAAATATTTTCAACATGTAAATATATAATAATTTCTCACAATTAATAATAACATTTAAATTAATCTGTAAAGATTAATATTTGTTTTTCATATTCTTCAATTTTTCTTAGGCAACCGAGTTATCTTACGTTCGAAGAGCTATGGAAGGTGTTTCGAATATGGAAATTCGATTGATGGTTACTGTTTCAAGTATTGAAGGTTGTGTATCGATAAACATTCCACCGGCACCGTCCGATCGTTTGTGGTATGGTTTTAAACCCGTACCGAAAGTTAATCTCACCGTAAAACCAGCGGTTGGGGAGAGAACAGTTAATATTGTTTATATAACAAAATGGATAGAAACAAAATTACTCAGGGAATTTGAAAAATTGGTTGTTTTACCAAATATGGATGATCTCATTTTACCATTGTGTCCTAATTATCCTTATACGACAATGCAATAGTAATAAACAAAAAGTATTGACCGTTGTATCGTATTAAATGTAAACTATCTGTATAAGTGAACTACTTGTATATCTTCATCAGATTTATAATTGTAGATTTGATTAGTAAATGATAAATATAATCGTGATGAAATTTCGCGCGTGTTTATGCTCCAAATGTATGATAGTAGATTGCAATTATAATATATCCTTATATGTACATTATAGCTTCAAGAAAAATTTTATGACAAAAAAAGCCAGGATGAAATTGAGAAAAGTTCAAAAAATGCTTATATAAATTTCATATATAATAATAACGAATGAAAATTAACAATAAATGAAAATTTAAAAACAAATTAACGATACCTAAAGTATCAGATATGTTTATCAATTTTTTAATCAATTCTTATTTATTAAGTATTGTTTCTTACGTTAATATCATTTCATAATTTTTTCATAATTAAAAAATTTTTTTTCAGTATGTCAATTATTGATAATTTTCTTGGGACCATGCATTATATTATTTATTTGTTGCGATAATGTACAAAAATTTATATTATATTTTTATAAAAACAAAAAATTCATTGCATGAAAAATAGCCACTAAGCTCGTTATTTATATTTATCGTTATATATATTTATCAATATATTTGTAGTAGTATTAACAATAGTAACAGAAATAGTAGTATTAGGAGAAATAGTAGTATTACTATTTTTACCACTATTATTAGTACTACTACTATTATTAATAATAATAATTATAATTGTAATTATAATTTATCAATAATGATTATTTTGAATATAATATTTAAAAACTGATATAATCCAGTATAAATATATCGTTACAATAAAATAATGTCGTAAAATAAATTGTGAATTTTACAAATAATACAATTCCAAAATATCAAACAATTTAAAGTGTATATTTTTCTATTTCAAATTTATTATAATTATTAATTTTTTATACACTTCAAACTATAATTTAATGATATTTTTTTGTGTTTAAATAACATGATGTGATCTTTAAACAAATATTTTAATGTATAATACGAATGAATTTATCTAAATTAAAATTCTAATTTTATATGCAATTAAAAGTTAAATATATATATATATATATTTTAATATATAGAATCATATATTATATGCGTATATATAATTATTTAACTTTCGCTTGACTAAATAAAGTATGCATTATATTAAATTTTTAATAAATTATATGATTAAGTGATGACAATTAGATTTACTCAAAATTATAGATATAAAATTATGATAAGGATAGATGGAAATTATTAATTATGTTGCTAAAAAATTGTGTATTTTTTACAAAAAATTTCCACAAAACAATATCACAGTTTGGAGATCGATATTCATATCATTCGGAATAAGAAAATAAATTATTTACAAATATTTCGTTAAATGAATATACTAACTTCGAAGAACACATGGTGCACTTTCTAATTCGCGGACTGTTTTAGCCCATGTTTCTATTCTCGGTGCACAAACCAAAACAAGATCACCGAGTCTTCGTTTAGCCATTATCACAAACTCGCCTTGACCATGGCGTGCGTCACAAGCAGCTGGTACTCTTATATGAACATTTCTGTGATCATGGAAATCAGTGGCATCTGCATCATTATTCTGTTTCAACGTAAATGACGAATTAATTCATAAACAAATATATCTTCGTTTAACTTTTCTGTATACGTTAAACTATATATATATACGCAAAAAGTAAATTATAAGTAATTTAATAAAGGAACACTTCGAATATAAAAAGATTATTTCAAATAATTATAATAAACTTCATCTTATAATATTTGATATATTTTAAAATTGATAATATTTTAATATATTTTAAAAATGATAATATTTTAAAATTCACTTGCAATATTTAAATATTTATGTATTTGTTCAAAAATCTTTCAAAAAGCTATATTTCATATAATACTATTTTCTTCGCTTTTTAGCAACATTATTTAGATGTTTAATGACATTTAATGAAAAATATATACGTATATACCTATAATCTATAATTTTATAAAAATATAATATGGAATATATTATAATAATAAAAATTATAATAATATAAATATAATTATATTATTGTATATAGAATATAATTAAAATTAAATGAGCAATTAAAAAGCAAGAAAGAAAACTTACCTCGTTTTCTTCGATTCGACGCAAAATTTTTGTTACTCTAAGGATAAGTTCAGCAGCTTCCAAATTCGGTTGTTTTTGAACGGCACTCACTGTACCTCTGGCTATGAAATCGCTTTGACAATAAGCTTTAGCTAATTCATCCATAGAACATGGCCTGCAATCTTCTTCCTCATCGTTAAATCGTCGTGATATTTCTTTTCGACTATCAATATATCGTAATTCCAAATCATATTGTAGCCTTGCATCATGATATTCACTCGATTCTTCTGCTTCTATATAAAGTGCTGCAGGTTGTTCTTTGCATGAAAACATCTATGCGAAGCTTTATGTTTACCATCTCTTGGCGAATATACTGATCGAAGTTTTCCACCTGTTTCCAAATATACTCTTATCGGTCCTGAAACCTTGGTACAAGTACGAAAACCAAATAACTGAAAAGCACTATTGTTGCTAATCGGATTGGTATCGTTTTTCATAATAATATCATCTTTTTTTCGAATGAATTCATAATGAATCTTCGATATTAATTCATTTAAAACAGGAGGCGAGAGAACTACGCGCAAAGCTCCTCGTGGATAACGCCATAGTATTGTTCCTCTGGAACATCGTAGATATACTGGTCGAACACCGCGACCACCGCCACCACTGTAAAATAATAAAAGAAAAAAATAAAGATAGAAAAAAAAAGTATTTAAAAAAGCATATTAATTATTTAATGTCTTTTTACACGTTATATTTCAGAACATGTCGATGTTTGGGCTATTTTAGTAAATTATCTCTCAAAATCTTGAATAGAAATTTACTATTTTATTAATTTGAATCCATTACAAAAAAAAAATTTTTTTGTTTTTGATAATAATGATTATAATGATGATAATTACTGTGGATTATATAATTATTTTTTTTACTCAATTTATTTATTTTTTTTCTTTCATATATATATATATGCGTACATATACGGAAATTCATATTTTTATTCTTTCTTACAAGAGGAAATGAGATAAATCGAATACTCTAGTCCATTCGATCTTTCTTAGATTTGCTTGTGTTTGCTTGCTGGATGGGGAAAACCGGTTTCATTGTAAGTCGGGCGACTGGTTTCACGCTTAATAAAACTTTGTATATACATACATATATGTTTATTATACACACATTTTCATTCCCCGTTATCATGAGGAATTTTAAAACACGTGCGCGCGCGCGCGCGCGCACACACACACACACACACACACGTGTAGTAGACAAAAAAAAAAGAAAATAAAAGAAAAAAAATTGTATTTGCAAATTATTATAGTTTTTTCATAAAAGTCTAATAAAGAAAAAGTCAATTGTTTGAATCATAATTGATTATTGTTTAAAGCAAATCAAAGAGATATCGAATAAATATAACCATAAGTATATAATTTTATTAATATAAAATTTAACAATTCATATATCAATAAAAATTAAATAAAGAGTATAACAGAATACTAACCTTCCAATCCAATCACATTGATCGGCAGCTTGAAGGGCAACATGTTCATAGAAAGGGGCCGATGACACAATGCTAATGAGTAGCAGTAAAGATAATAAAAGCACCGAACAAAGCATGAACGTAAATGTTCTCATTTTTTCGTGGTTCTATATCGTACTGATTATATACGTTATATATTGAACTGAGTATACATTTGAATTTGCATCTCTGCTTTATAATGTCTTATTATCCAATATTTGTTAGATTTCAAATTAGATTTCATTTGTTACAGACTACAAAGTCTCAATATCGTTAATTTCGATTAATTTTTTAGTTAAAAGCATATATATATTTTCTTTATATATATATACTAGAAATAATAAAATTCAAACCATACTAAAGATTATATAGATGCGTGTATATACAAATTTAATTACACAATGAAGTTTTTTTACTTTATTATAAATTTTAATAAACAAATTTTAATAAACAAATTTACTCTAAGATGATTTTATTGGTGTTAAAAGAAAATATAATACTTGATTCAAGATTTAACATTGTATTCAAAAACATGCAAACAGCATAACGATGTAGATAACCTAACCTTAAAAAATGAAATAATAAAACAAACGTTTATTAAACGAAAATTTTAATTAATTAATAATGTCCTCACGTTTCTTCACTGGTGTAAACTACTTGCTCTCGTTTCTACACTGCGTCTTCGAATCGCGCGATGGTAGTATGATCGTGTATACACGACGAACGAGACGGAGAACATTTGAAGGATCATACTTGCCATGGGATATGTTGAAAAATTTAGTTACAATGTTATACTAAAGTTTAACCACACGCGAACATTTAATAGTTGTTCAGCTATACGTGCCAACACTGTTTATACATATAACTTGTGTACAACTATTTCAAAATTATGCACGTCGTTTCGTTGCACAATCCCTCACTCGCACGCACTCATACTCACTCACTTTCTCTCTAGTCTGACGTTCTTTACCATGCTCGTTAGAGTCCACTTCGACTCGAGTCGACTCGTTTTATCTCGACTGGCTTCGCTGTGACTCGCCCTTCTCTCCTCTCTCTTTCTCTTTCTCTCTCTCTGGTTAGCTCTCGGAGTAGCTTTGTCATGTTTCTGTTCTCGTTTCATTTTTCGATTCCTTTCGATGCTATGTCTCATCAACATGACATTAGAATATCTGTTAGTTGTACTTATAATGTTAAGAAATTTCTTTTTTAGGAGACACAATTTTAATTTGATAATAAATTAAAATTGATTCATCGACAAATTAAAAATTTTTCTTTCAAAAATTCATTACATTCCTTATTTACCATATTTTTTATAATAATAGTTATTTAATGAAATAAAAGGATAATAAAAAATATCTAAGTGATCAATCAATTTTATGTTATTTGATATTAATTATGTTTAATTATGTTTAAATATCTTAATTTATATTATTTTATGAAAATCATCAATTTTAATATATGATATATTTATATATTTTATTTAGTTAAAAAGAAAATACA